AAATGGATAGAAAGAAACCATAACATGCAGTTTGTTAATGATAGCCTTGCGGGGTTTTTTGCATCATGCAAAGAATCATAAGTTTGCATCATGGATGCTGGCAAGCAGAGTGCTTACTTTCATGTTCGATCGTGTGTGGAAAAAATGGCCTTTTTTTCCTGGTAATTTGGGCAACCATCTCTCACTTTTGATGGATCTGAAGGTTAAAACAGAAAGTAAAGGCATAATAATTTTATTTAGCTTAAGATAAATTACTGTAACACAGAGAAGATATGGATGCTATCACATCCTGGTATAAAAGAAAACTAAAACCCCAGGCTTTGCCTATAAAATCTTGCAATTTATCAATAAGGTAAGTGACAGCAGGTGAATGTAGACAGAATTGTTTAGTGTGGCAGGCAGTCAGATCAACACAATAGTGTCTGGATTTAAACTTTTCCTGGGCATCATGAAGTTCAGAGGGAATTTCAGATCCTTGGGAAAGAAGGGATTCTGTTTTGCTGTTGCTTCAGCGGTTGTGGGTTTTGGTTTTGGTTTTGGGGGGTTTGTTGTTTGTGTGGTGTTTCGTTTTTTTTTTCCCCAAGTTTCTGTGCTACAACAGAAGGGAAAAAAAAAAGGATTGAGACTATTGAGAACACAGTGAGGTACTGAACGAGGTTTTCATCACACACTTGAAATTCAGTTGGCTTCTGAATTTTTTCTGTTTGCTGTTGGTCAGTTTGTATGAAATATGCCACCTGTGTCCCTCTACTTTTCACATTCACATCCTGTGTAATCAACAAGCAAGTAGTTCCACATGCTTGATAGGACGTTAATAGCTGTATGAGGCTGTCCTTAGCAGGCAATATCTTGATAAACAGGTTTGCAATATACTTTGACTGAAGGCTGATTCCAGTGTTAACTTTAGTCTTCAAAGTTGTCATCTAGTTCAGAATTAATCATAGTATCAATCATAATCAAAATAGAAATCATTACTAAAAAACTTTTATAGGGGCTATTTTCCAAATTAACCTTTGGAGAAGAGTTCTTAAAATTCCATCTCTAATAAGCAAAATTTTTTTAGCTGTTACACTGCTATTGATTGGTTACAAATCATTCATACATGCAACTTTCATACATGCTAGTAACCTTGAAAAATGGTTCAAACCACTAAACTTAAACTCTGTAGGTGGCTTCCAATTATTAAGTAACTTAACTGGGTGAAAAATGAAAGCCATTTTTCCACTTCAGTTTCATTTTATGGTTGAAATTTGGATGCAAATCTGTTCATTACTTGCTTGATTTCAGAAGGGATGTCACTGGTAACTCCGGAAGTGAAGGAATCTAATTTTATGGCCTCATATTCAAGTAATATGAGTAGAGGAGAAGTAGTTCCTGATAAACTTTTTATCTGTGATGGATTTTCCTAGTGGGATACTTCTTGGAGACTTCCTGGTAGCTTGTGTGGCTGCAAGCAGTGTTTGTGCAGAAAAGAGATCAGCAATGATGCAGTTACTCCAAAGCAGATGTCCTGTTCTTTTACTTTTTAATGCACTAGTGTAATAAACTGTACTGTTACATTGTGTACTAAACAGAATGTATTTTATCACTGGAAGTGTTGATTTTTTTTTTCTAATCTTAATTTATACTGTTTGATGATTAAACTGTTATGAACAGAGTAAATGATTTAATGGTGATATAATGTTATTCATCTTTTTATGTCTGTAATTCTTCACCCTTCAGCAGGCTGTAATATGTTTGGCAATAACAAGCTGTTGGGTCTTTCACTAAGGGATAGATTTATGTTGTTGGTTATAAATACTAATCATTCCAGATGGACAAATAAAATACTTAAAATGCCTTTATTTGTGCAGAATGCTTCTGTAAATGGGTCTTGGTTTTTCCCCAGTATGAAAGCTGACAGTTTTTCCATTGTGATTCTTGATAAAGATGCCTGGCATTAATTGGTTTGGAAGAGTTTTTCTGACACTAAATAGGCAGACAGTGCTCATTAACAAATATCTCAAAATCCATATGCATTAGGACTTGTGCTGTTGATAAAATGTTATTTTTTAGCATTCAATATACATTTTACTTCTTTATATTTTTTAATTTAGTTGAGGGAATTAAATTGTATTTGAGGGCCAGCCACAGAAAGCTGCATAGTACTATGGTCTTGTGAGATTTAGCTGAAAGTCTGTTTCTGTGTATGGAAACAAACAGTGCTGTACGGGTGTACTTTTAAAGTTTAAATGAGGGTTCTTTACTCTGAGTATCTTTTTGAATCTATCTTCAAATGTGGTGTTTTGTTTGTTTTTTTCTGGAGGGGAGGTTGTTTCTTTTTTTTTTAATTACCCTAAACTTAAGGTTTAACTTTAAAAGGGGAGGAAGAAATTCCATAGGGCTAGCCATGTTTTCAAGGCTCTCATGCCAGTAGATTTGAATTACCCTGGAAATACTGTCTTCCAGTAGCTGGGTATGTGCTACCACCTATACAAGCACTACATCAAAATCAATTCTGTCCCTTCTCTGCCACTCTGCCTTTGAGGTTGGACATGATGAGCAGTTCTTGGGAATTTCAAATTCCTGCAAAATACCAGGAGTCCTTTGCTTTAAAACTATGGGATACTGTTTAGGCAACTGATGATGGTTCCTTTTGCAGCTGATTCCTGATTTCACTGTATCAAAAGTAAATTTCTAGTTCAGCACTTGATTAGGAGTGGTATTGGCTTGCTCTTTCCATATCGAATCAGTTTTATTGGGTGGTATCAGCACGTTGGTTGTTTTCACTCATTTTTTCATTGGTTTAGCTAAAGTTCTTATCCAGAGTCCATTTTTCTGTGTGTATATTATGAAAATAGCACCATAATTATTGCTGGTTTTGACTATTTTAGCAACATGGCAAAAGAGGGAGAGCACTCAGAGACCTTATTATCCTCACTTTGAGGTTCTGAGGTTTTTTTGGGTGTTGGATTTTTAAACCACTTTGTAAGTACATATGAGTCTGGCACATGCTGGGAGTAGGGGGGAGGTTGTCAAAAAAACCAAACCCTAATTTTTAAAGACTTGCTAGGCTTGTAGCAGAATCATCAGGAAGCCTGGAGCGTATTGTACTTTGATACTTTATGAGAAGAAATATCATGTGCCAATTAGTGTCAGGGCTTGCTGAAACAGAGAAATAAAATGCAAATATCCATTTTCTTAACAAAGATATCTTGGGTAAAGGTTAAATGCTTTTTGAGTGTGGCTGGAAGCTTAGCAATCATCCTGCCCATATTAGTAGTGCATAAATATTTAGTGTAAGTTCCTTGCCACTAGATAGGCTCCTTCACAGTAGAGGTGTTGTTTCTACAACTTGTGCTTTAAAAAAAACCCCAATTGCCTACCAGCAATTGAGCAGAGGAAAATGTGTGCTGCATCTGTGTTGCCAGGCTTTCACTGTGTGCCAAGATACTTCTGTGTGGTTTTCATAGTGATTTAGACAAACAATTGTGAAACAGTATTTTTTTCCCTCAAGGAATTATATTTTGATAAGGTTAGAAACAGACACAGAACCCAAACATCAGTTTTGCCAGGGGGCTTGAAGCAGCTTTGCAACTAGTGTGTTAACCCTGTCCTTTACTTGGGTACACCCCAGGCAAGCCTGGACGTATCTCTGGGAAGTGAAGACAAAATGCAGAGCTGTAGTAGATGATGGCTCAGTGTGGTACTAACTCAAGGGTTTGCAAAAGAAAATGGAACCTAGTGCGCTAGGCTACTCGTGTGGTTATGGTCCGAGAACCCTTGATGGTCTAAGAGAAGGTAATATCAACATGATTATTCTTTAACAAAAGAAAGGCAAACCACAAAATTAACGGAACTCCCAAAACAAGCTCTGTGCACATGTACCCAAAAAAATATGGAGAAAGTCAAAGAACAGTCCAGGTTTAACTTGACCCGTTGTTCAGTTTCTGCTGGGAAATGCAGTTGTCTTCCATGCTGTTTTCCAAGAACAGTAACTTAATTAAAGTGCATATAGAGAATACAAGACTTTATTGTTGCTAAAAAGCAAATGTTGCTCAGCTAATTATAGACACTGACACTTTCCAACGACATTAGGATTAGGAAAGGTTAGAAAACATATCAGCAGGTTATGTGGCTGACAGGCATGCCTGTGATGTGGGAATCAGCCCTGTTCCTGGTTTCAGAAGGTTTCTTCTCTAATAGCATAACAGCAGAGCTGTAAGAAAAGGGGAGATGTTTCTCTGTTACTGACACAGTCCTTCCACGATTTTGGGAAGTTCCACTTACATCAGTCAATGTGAGATTTCACAGGAGCAGCTCCGTAACCTCTTAGCTTGATTACAGAGACTTAACCAAGTGATTTGAAAGAGCATGTGGCATTGATGAACATCAAATCCTATTAAGGATGTCTGTATTCCCTTCTGATGTGATTGCTCTTGTAGTGAGAGCAATAAATGGTAGTGTTCGCTGGCAAGAGTTCAGACAGGTTTTGTGTTGAGCTGAGCTGCATGCAAGTGTGTCGCAGAGATCTATAAAGCTGCATTGGGATGCACAGTGTCTCTGGCATAAGCTGCCTATTTCCTTTCAGTCTGTGATTGCTGTTTAATGGTTCAACTTCCTTTTTTTTTTTTTTTCTTCTCACTGCTCATCTGATACTTTATCCTAAAAAAAAAAAAAAAAAAATAAAATGTTTTGCCAGCATTATAGGAAATGTGCTCAACACAGCAGGGCAATTCTGTCCCAGAAGGAGAAGGGTGAGAATACCCTGTTGATCATTCAGGCCCTCTCTTTGTCAAAACAGTTTTTTTCATGTTGTATGTTTTTGAGGGCCTGCCTTGCTTGAGTGCTGAAGCAAAAGGGTGGAAGAGCTTCTGCTGCTCTTTTGTAGATGGCTATTCTGCTATTGATTTAAAAAAAATGAGTGTCATTAATTTCATTTATGATTTCTGTAAGGGGTGGAGGGAGATAGTTCAGTTTTTCTTCCCTATTCATAATAAAAGCAAGGTTGGTACTGCAGAATGTGCCTATTATTTATTGAGCTCTACTATTTACTCATAGGGTGGCTTGAGTTCTTCATTAAACACCTGTGCTTCTACCTTGAGGCACAAAAGCTTGGATCAGATGAATGCTTTCACATAGGTACATCGACTATGAATACCAGCTTCCTAAGCCAGTAAGAGTTTCTGTTACGGTGTTACTGAACCAATGTGGGAGACTCCTTTCAAATGCCATAATTTGAAAGATGTAAATATTTTTTCTTAATGATAGTTCTAGTAGATCTCTGCAACAAAAATCTTACTTTTCCCAAATGTAAGTATATTGTTTACATCCCTTGACTTCATTCTCCTTCCCTGTTTTCACTTTAAAAATGGTAAATACTCATAGATATCCGTTGCCCTTCCCACTCAAATAGTTATCCAGGTGAAAATGCAGTAATCCTCATCCTTTGTGCAATTCAAACTTTTTAGCTCTGCATTGCAGGTAATTATTTTTTTCTTGCACTGAATCTGAATATTGTCCCTTAACTGGATTTTGCCACATTGTCTGCAGTTAATGAAATTGAATACATTTTCACTGGAACCTGATCTTTGTAATAAATAAAATTCATTTGAACCAGGATCTACAAGGAGTCATCAGCAGGACCCTGCAGACTACTAAACTTTTCTTCTGGTGTCTTAGCTGCCAAACCACAGGTCATCTCACCTGTATTTTTTCTTTGCTACCTTCATAGCCCCACACACTCCTCAGTGCCACCCATATAGGATTGCTACCAGGGTAACTTCCTCAGTGGCAGTAATAAGGATTGAAGGTGAGCTTTTTACTTGTGTTACAATGGTGAATTAGGAATGACCTACTAATTGGGTAAATGCCAGTCTTCTGCACCTTCTTTGTAGAAGCCGATGTCCTAGAACTCAGGTAAGGTTTTGATCACCTTTCTTGTACACTCAAGCACTGGAGTGTCAGGAGTCCATTTATCATTCCTCCTTTTACCACCAAAATGTTCACATTTGACACTTTCTTTTAGTTTTTTTTTCCCTCAGAAGCCTGATGCAGAAGGGGTGCTGGCTTGCTTTTGTTACATCAAAACCTGATTACAGTAATTATGTGTTTAACAACCTCCCTGTGAGTATATACTGCATCCTCAGATGCCTTTGAAGTCTTCTGCTGGAGGTAGTTATCCATACCAGGTCATTTCAGAACGCAGTTTGTCTGACAAAGTTGCTAGCTTCCACCAGTGTAATGTTAAGTGTGGTGACGTGAGGTTTTAGCCGTACATTGTCTAAGTGAAATGTAGTTAGCAGAACTGAAATGTAGTTTCTGCCAGTGCTTGCTTGTTTCAAAAGATTGTGGACCCCATCCCACGTCTTTAATCCTGCAAGGAGCTCAGTACCAATTAAATATTACCTGTGCTCTCTACTGCAGATAAAAGAGAAGAGCATATTGCATGCTCTATGTTCCTGATGATCTCCATATTCCCTAAGTTTATTTCTCTTGCAGACGGTGCTCTGAAAGCAGAATATAATGAACTTTCCTGTGAAGTTGTATTGACTTTTCAAAATGTACTGTTCTGTTTTTAGGTGATGATGGAGCACTGTGTGCAGTCCTGGATTTTTTAATAACATTTAAATTCACTACACTTACCAGAGCTTTAAGTGAGTGGTGGATGAAGATTTGGTGCGAACCAAAGGACAAAAAACTGCAACTGTTGTTCAAAGTGCCTATGCAATCCAGAGTAAATACAGTCAGTTTAAAGATTCAGACAAGTCTTGGATGTCATAGTATGGTATTTATTCTTAACATGGCATCCTGGTTTCACTCCATGCCTCGGTTTCCTCATTAGGAAGTGGATGCAACACAGGGGTATAGTGGCACTGAGCACTCTTGCTTAATAGACCTGAAATGAAGCTGCTGCTTTAACTTCTTTCCTACAAAGCTGAAAGTGCTAGCAGGGAAAAGCACTGATTAAAAGCTTGGTGTAGCCTGCTATCAAACGTGTGAGTGGGAAAATGACAGTGCTCTAAGAGCAGGCCACTGCGGGTGTCTCTGCTCAGCAGTTGTCAGCTCTGCATTAGTGACAGTGGGGGATTGGGAGTGGTGACTATTTCCTTTTGAATCTGCCCCTGAACATGCTGGCTTTTCTATTCTTAATGTCAGCTACAGTGCATAGGGTGGTGATGATGCTCTGCCCATAAGGATAGTCACAGTATGGGTGTGGGTCTTTTCACAGAGCTTTGCAAGGGACTCACTGGATTCCAGTATGCTGGTGTCCTGTGGTTTCTCTGTCTGACAGCCTCACATCAGGGAAAAAATAGACAAGTGGAGTCAGTGAGCTGAAACAGGCACATCACCAACAGCTGCCTCTACTCTCAAGGAAATCTGGAGAAGGTAAGGCGATGTGCTGTGTGACATGGAGCTACCTTTCTAGTGGAACCGGTAGAATGAAGATGATTAGGATAAGTTGGAAATTACCTTGTTTGATGAAAAACACATAGAGGAGTGATGTAAAGGTTGCATAGTGTGTCCCTGCAGTTGTATCAGTTCCTGTGTGCTTATGATTTAACAAGGTATGAGGAATTGTGTTAATGCATCTATAAAAAGCCTGACTCCATAATATACCCCCAGAAATGCTCATCTCCAGCTGCTTTTCCTTCTTTTTATTGAAAAAAAAGGACATAAGTTGTAGCTAGTAAAAGAGCAGAGTGGTATGAGAGGAAAACAAGGCCAAGTCCAGTTGTTACCTCTGCAGTCACTTTTTCTCAATGTTGTATTCCTGAAGCTAATGAACACTGCTCATGTTATTGCTTAACTATAGCTTCTTCTTTTCCTCCGGACACCTAATTCCCTGTGAAAAGTCTCTCAGTCCTAACCAAAATCGGATAAACGGCAATGCTGTTGCAGTTCACTGAGTGTGACTGACACGGTATTTGAAATTGCCACTCAGCCCAGGCAGTCAGGGAGGGTAGCTTGTACTTTAGGCTGCAAAAAAAAAAAACTGCCTCATTACAGAAAGTCTGCACTCTACTCAGGAAAAAAATCTGTAGTGGTATCACAAAGATTGGTTTCCCAATGAAAAATTGAGGTTTGACATGAACCTCAGCGCTTTTAATCTTTTATGGCAAGTTCACAAAGAGAACCTTGCAGTCTGTGCTGGAGGCACTAGATGGCAGTGGAAGTATGACTAAGAAAACAGCCGTCTTGAGGGGTTTGGGGCTAGTCTCTGAGCCACAAAAAGGAGTGAAGGCAGCTTTACTTGAGAAAAAGATAAGGTTGAGACTATGGATGGCCTTCTGTGCACAAAACCCAATGTTTCACTTAGAAGGAGTACTAATTTATCTCTAATTTTGCATCTGCTTTAAGCAGATTAACTTATAAAAAGCACCCTCAGAAACAAAAACCAAAACCCCAAACAACAGATGCTTTGTAAAGCATCTATTACCTCCAGTGGTTTGCCTAGATCAAAGTCATTAAAAGAAGAAAAAGCCCCAAATGTGCAATTGCTGCCAGTGGTATAGTTTTTTGTTGTTGTTGTGGGGGGTGTCTCAGTAATATTTAACTTGTGTGTTCAAGCTATGACAGGATCTGCAGTGATGATTCCTAGTGAACAATGAGTTTGCTCTTCACTGTTAATTATGCTGCAGCAGCCCATGTCCTAAAAGTCTCTTATATGTGACAGCCCTAATATTGGAAGGTCTCCCTGCGAGCATGCACATGTGTATTGGTGAATATGCAGCTGTATGTGCTCTGCTGAGACTGTACAGGAGAGCGACGCACATACATGCACAGACATGATCCTGGGATGAAGCCCCAGCCTGGATGTGTGTTGTGGTTTAAACCCAGCTGTAGCTCAGAACCATGCACTCTCACTCCCCCCATTCATCTCCCTGCTCCCAGAGGGATGAGGAGGAGAATCGAAAGAATGTAACTCCCATGGGTTGAGATAAGAGCAGTTCAGTAACTAAGGTATAACACAAATCACTGCTGCTACCACCAATAATAATAATGATAAGGGAAATAACAAGGGAAGAGAATGCAACCGCTCACAACCTGCTGACCGATACCAAGCCTACTGACCAGTGATCTAACCCTTCCGGGTAGCTGCCCCCAGTTTATATAGTCATCCAGCTTACCCTTGAACAAAGCAGCTGTTTGCTCAAAGAGGTCTGGAGACAAGGAAAGGCAGCAGCCTTTAAACACATGTGAAGGGAGGACAGAAAGAGCACATCAGAAACTGGACCTGGATGACTTTGGGGTGATTAAGAAACTTATGAAAACAAAGGGGTCAGCAGTGTGAAAGCAGAAAGGGAGGATGGCTTTGGCCATTATCAAGTGTCTCAGAACAGCATAATCAGAAATATGGGAGAGGTAAATGAGCAGTGATTACTGGGAAAGCAATTCACTCCCTCATGCCAGGTTTTCAAAAGCTTTATGTGCCATAGGTTAATAGCCAGCTATTTGCTTTTACTGTGGATTAAGCCCCAGATTTCCTGAGGTGATGTTCTTCCCTGTCCCTCACAGGCGACCAGTGTCAGGCTGCTCAACACTGGGCATAAGCATGGGCTCTCTCAGTGCAGCCCCTCTGGTAACACCTTGTTTAAGGAAATCCTTAGCTGTGGGATCACTAAGTTAGTTTTTTGTGGGTTTGGGTTTTTTTTTTTTTGTTTTGTTTTTTTTTTTTTTGTTTGTTTGTTTTCTGTGTCCTTTGCACTGACACAGAAAAAGGGGCTACCCAGATGTGTGTAGGGACTGGAAGACAGAAGGACTCTGTGGGATTTAAAAGAAAGATACAAGGTCCAAGGCATTGCAGTGCCTTGCATCCTGGGAAGTAATGTGAAAAATGTTTCTGATTTTTATGGGGGTTGTGGCAGTACCCAGTGGTGTGTGAAACTGAAGTGGGAACTGTTCTTTAGTCCTTCTTTAATGTAAGGCATCCATGAGGTTTGCTTCTGTAAAGGGTGGGTACATCATTTGTGTGGTGGGTAAAAGACACAAGGCAGGGAACTTGGTGTCTATTTGTCTGAAGTAGTTCTTCCAGACAGCATTTTATATGAGTTTCTGTGGAGGAGGAATATAATGTTTTCTGTAGGAGTGTCATTCCCCTCTGTCTATAATGAGAAGGAAAGTATTTTTTTGAAGAAATTTTGCTTATTGGTTTATAACCTTAATAGTGTCTGTGTATTTTATTTTATCTTTTTTTTTGTCCATTTTCTTCATGACATTCCTCTGAGTGCTGTTTGTTATCCTTACAGGTCCTTAGGTGCTCTGTGCTGTCTGGGTCACAGCTCTTTTTCTTGAAGTTTGCTCTGACAGAACATGATCTTCAGGAACATTGCAGGTTTTCATTTTGCCTTTTCTTGCACCTTTTCATGAGGTGCTAATGGACCGAAATGCAATCATTAAACCTTGATAGTTTTTCCTTTTCACCCACAGTACTTTGAAAGCAAATTGGTTACTAAAAATGTGCTTGGATAAGTGAAGGATATACAGAAAAGTTGAAGAGAGATCCCAAGATATTGTATGGCCTGTAGAGGACAGTGGTTATTTACAAGTGTCTTTGGAGCAGGTGAGATATGGCCCTGTCTCAGCCAGCAAGATAACAGCACCAGGAGGACTGTGTTTTGTGTAGTCCATGCAGGCATGCAGCTTTGCAGCCTGTTAGCAAGGCTTTGAGTAATTTTGAAAAGTTCTGTCTGGATTATTTAGTGAGTGAATTTACTGAAGACAGAGCCTTCAGCTCCTGAGAGAGAAGGAAGAGCCCAGACAGGTCGCTGCTGTAAATATGTGCTTGCCAGTCTCTGGCAAGAGCTCCTGTTTCTGGCTTTCCTGCCCATGATGACAAACCACCTGTTTAGCCCCAGTGCTGCAGTGCTGGTGGGCGCTTGGGCTGCATTGTGCTGTAATGCATAGCACAGAGCAGTAAAGTTAATAAGAAGGAGTTCTAATAGCAGCACTGAGCTATAAGCTGATGCCTCGGAGAACCATATATAACGCTCAGCACAGTACAGTCTTCTGAGAGCCTTAATATGGAAAATGCCACATCAAACAGAAGGCTCACGCTGGGCTCTAGACCAGCAGAGTAAGGTAGGGTATTTGGGAAGAGCTGTCTGAGGAGCAACCTTTTGTTAGTTATGAGATGTTTTAAGTGAGGGAATGAACCTAACTCCCAGAGAAAGTGAAGATTAGATCCATGATGTTTTTCAATTAGGCTTTATTCGTTCAGTCTGTCCTTAAAACTCACTGTCTGAAATGACAGGAAAGCTACTCAGATAATTAAGGAAATTTAGGAGGTAAGATTTCACCTTCAGACCAAATGGAAAGAACGCCATCATCTTAATCTGCTACTGGCTTTTAGTACCGCTGATACTGCTGTAGACTGATAGGTCAGATGTTGACAGCCCATTGGTAGAGTTCTAGGACTGGAGAAAAGAAACCCTTCTGTACCTGAAATTAGGGTGTTTGTGAATTAGTGAAAAAATACCTAGTTTTGACATGAGTTCTGGAGTCAAGATTTTGTAGTCTTTTGCTACTGATGTGAGTTTCTTGTATCTGAGATTACCTGTCTGTAAAATGGTGTGTCAGTGAGATTATTCTGTTCTTTCACCATTAAAACTTATTCATAAAAATGATATCAAAAATCCAAAAAGTATAACTCAGGCGATAAATACAAGAATTAATTTTAAAATTTCTTTTCTTACCCTCTGTAAATGATAGCTTCCATTACAGGAAGTCAGCACCATGTAATGGAATTTACCCTGGAGGACTGGAATACTAAAACTTGGACTGTAGTTAGGTGATGGCAACACAACAACTGAGAAATGAAAGATGAATTGCTGCACACACAAAAATGGTTTAAGCTGAGACACTGGGACTTGCTTCAGGCAGGGAATTGTGGCCAAGACCTAAGAGGCATTCGTCTGTTGTGTAAAGTATGCCTAAATATTTAACTTCATTTGGATGAATGCAATGATAAGGCTTTCTTTTCATATTTTATTTATTCATCTTTTTATAACTGTCATGGAAAAATGGAATTTCCATCCATGGCAAAAGATGTCTTTGGTATGGGGAAAAAATTAATCTTGGATAATTCTGGGGGAAAATTCCACTTGAAGACAACAATGACAGTTGTTCAGATTTCTTCCTAGCTTCTATCAAGGAAGCCAGATCTCTGGGAAAATGAGGATGCTGGGGAAACCACAGTCAGCTTCTCATAATAAATGATGGCATTGAACCAGCACTTTTGGGGTAGCAAAAGGGATGGCAATATGTTCCTTGTGGTGTTTTCAAAATTACTTCTGTGAGAACAGACAAAGTCCCACTGATGGGCAACTTTCAAAGCCATCTCATTGTCTTGTGCTCAGTGTATGAGACAGGGTATCTGTCACCTGTGCCTGTGGTTGCAAGGGGAGGAGAAAAAATATCCAGGCAGTGATGTTCGTTATTACGGTTATAAGGAAAAGAAATGTATAAATTGTTGCTTGAGTGATGTCTTTCTCTGAGATTCTATTGATTACATACAGATCAGGATTTTAACTCTAAGGGAATTAAGATTGAGAAGCCACGCTAGATCCACTGTTCACAAAAAAAATATGCAAAAATGGGATAAGAGGTCTAATAACTTTACTGGAAAAAGTTTTTCGGTATGTTTCTTTCTTGAATCCACTTGGTACATCTGGCATGTCTCCTTGTCTTTGGTTCAACCAAAAGCATCAAAACAAGTGATTTCACGCTTGACTTCAGTGCTTCCTGTGCATATGTCATGGCTTACAGTGGATATGGGGAGCCCTTCCTAATGCTGATCTTAAAAGTATATATTACCACACCAGAGCAAATCAGCATTTTTCAGACAGAGGAAAGAGGAGTTCATACTTCAGAGCAACACACAGTCTGGCAGCCAGGTTGGTGGGTCTGAATTTGGAATAAAAAGATTCAGACCTTTGTTCTCTCTGATTTAATCCTGAAAATTAAACTGTCATTCTGGTTTTCCCTAATGTGAAGGTTGTTTGCTATTTTGGGGTAGGGGTGTACATGAGGGTTCACTCTGGACTCAGCCTCATCTTATAGTGTTTTACAGTTGCTGTCAGATGAGTTATGGTGTTTGAGGTAAACTGTTGTAAAAACATATGTATGTTCTTAGCTTGCAACAAATTTCAGTAATTTGATGATGCTTAAGACAGCTCCAGCATAGAGAAGACACCCTATTAAAAACAGTAAATCAAGCTCTGCGTGCATGATAGCTGAATTGAAGTTTGAGCTATTCTATTGTCTTTATATTCTACTGCTTTCCTGATATGTACACACACAGGCATATAAAATATTTGCATTTATAGTTTTGCAATTCAATGTGTTGCTTAGAGCCACAATACATTTTAAGAAAATAGCACAGATTTCGATATCTTCACAACATTGGGCCAGCCATCACCAGTAATGTTACTTTTGCTTCATCAAATCTTCTTCAATACAGTCCTTCCTGTCCAAACTGATTATCTTCATAAACCACATCTTGAAGCATCTTGTAAAAAGGCTAAATACCTGAATAATGACAAAATCTGTTTCCCATTCACCACTGTCTCAGGGCACGGGGGTGTAGTAACATTGGTGGGGAGCTCTTTTTCCTGGTTCTGTGTTGAATGCTTCTAGCAGTACCCATATCCCAGCAGAGTGGACAAGGGGGAAATCTCAGCAAAGGCACTGTGACATAAGGCGGCATCTTGAACTGTGCTCAACCTTGAATTCTAATTTGTTTTATGGAACACAAATGTTAAACACCAATCCCAGTTTGCTCTGACAGATAAGGTTTAACTGATGGGCTCTCTGGAGATTGGTACCCATATTATCTCCGGCTTCAGAGCATGGTCAGCTACTTCCTTTTCTCCCACCTTCAGCTTTTTATATTATCTTAGGCTACAGGTACACAAAGTCCTTCCATCCTTTACCTTTCAACTGCACAAGGCAATATTGCTTAAAATTCCAGTCTTTCATATTCCACGAGCCTCTGGAAAGTCAAAAAATGCCAAAGAAATGCTGGATTATATATGTATTTATTAGGTCTATGCTACATTTTTGAGAAGACCTTGTTGCATTTAGTCATCACATCCTTAGAAAACATAACACAGGGTAACACACTGTAAATATATCAAAAGAATTTTGACATTTCCCACAGTACAATAAATCTGCATCGTTCTTGAGACATTATTGTGTTGATGAAGAAGGAAGTGCTGTTTTTTTTTTGTTGTTTTTTTTTTTTTTTTTAAGAATCCATAAGCAAATGTTTAGTGCAAAAGGAACCAGGCTGGCCTTAGACGTGGCATATTTTATGCAATAATTTTTCTCTCAATCAGTTCCAAGTTGTGAGTGCTCTCTCATAACATATGCAAAGACAAGAATCTCATCAGGATGATGCTTAAGCCTTTCTGTAGGATTCAGGTAAAGATTTAGAGCTGTAGCATTGATGATAGTGTCTTTCTAGCTGCACAGTTGGTATTCTGTAATGAGATGCACTTCCTGCTGATACTGTTTGACCAGGAACACTCTGTCACTAAGCTTTGACTAGTTATGGGTAGTGTCAGCACCATCTACCCCATTGTGCTTGAATCATCTGGTGCAGACAGCACTTTTCTCTTAAATCTGGGTGTCCCACCCATCGATGTTATGAGCTATCTATTGTCATGCCCTGTGGTGATCTTTCTGGAAGTCACACAGCTTCAGCAGCCTTTGGAATAGAAATTATTTGAAGAGACTAGAAAACCCAACCCTGGCATCAGGCAATCCTAGGGGTTCCCCTTTCCCCTTCCCACTCCTCCACCCCTACAACTTCTGTGTGCCCCTTGTTTTGACCGTGGGTTGTATTTTAGAGTTCAGATGAATGTGCTTATGGGTTGCTTTTCAGTTCATAAGGGAAAGACAAGCTGACACTTTGTTAGTGGTGTTTAGTTATCATCTAGTCTGGTAAATGAAAGGGAAAGGCAGAATCTGTAACTTTCATGGTTCTGCAGTAAGATTTCAGATCAGCATGAAAAGACAAGGGACTGCACAGAAACAGAAATATGCAGTAAGCATAAAATAAATGTCACCATCCACAGCTTTGCAACAAACAGAAAAGCGAGTCATGCATAGCATGCAGGACTTGAGAAGATTGACGAAGGACACTGTTGATAAATTCTTTTCCTTTAATGAAAAGCTAATACGTGATTGCTATTACCCTGTCAGGGAAGACTGCTTTCTAAATCTTATCTGCATTCAGTAAACATCCCTATATGTGGCCTATCATCCAGAAAGGGACAAAAGGTTGTGTAGATGCCTGGATTCAAATCGGTAGTTCATGGGCATGCAAATATTTCAAACACACTGTGCTCAGATTACTGAGGCATGTCTTCTGAAATCCAGCATCTGCTGTGCGTGATATTTAAAGCTGGTAAACTGGTAATACTCATTTAATGAATTCTAATCACTTCTTTATATGCCTAATCTGTCAATAGGCCCTGTTTTCTCTATGCATTTGTCCATTGATCTGTTTACGTGAACAGCTTTTGCTCTGTTATTTACAAATCATTCTCTGCTGTGTTCTCCTTTTGGAAAGTGCTCACAGCTGAGTGGACAAGATGATGTTTTTGACCAGATAATCAATGACCAGGTCATTTATGCCTAACAAGAAATAAATCAAAGGCCTTTCCAAATGGTCCCATGGACATTACTGGCCATTGGCATTGTGGTGGCATGTTTATTTTCTACAATCACTTGCATGCACAAATACATCACTCATGGCTACTCGTTAAAGTAATAGGAAAAGCTGACATCATGCTAGAAATGAACAAATATCCATTAATACTTTATTGTTGTTTTGTGCTATATTTAAGGCTTCTGGACTAGTGTTGGTTGCTTTGCAAGCCAGACAGGCACATAAGAACAGATTGCCCAGATGATTTTGCAATGAGGCATAGTGTAAGTAACATCTGGGGCAGCAAGGAAGAGAACTGTAAAGGGGAATGAAGGTTACCTCTAAGATATTGTTCAGGTAGGTCCACAGCTTGATGGCTTACTCACTTGGATACAAATGCATCCACCTAAGTGTGCATAAAGTCTTATTACTTTTTTAATGCGTCAGTTTAGAAGTAAGCCCAAGAATTCTAAGGTCAATTATTTGTATTTTTTATTACTCTAGGAAATAAATAAAATGTCTGCCAATGTCATTGGGGTACCATTTTATTGACTATAAAGGTGGAGTGATATAGGATCAGCAAGTGGGTGATAATTTTTGGCAACACGGGCTTGCAGTCACCTGGGAAAGGAGTTTACTACTGACAGAATTTTTATTATGCTGGCTGTAAGTTTATTAAGCACTATACTGAGTAATTTCTGTCAGCATATTGCATCATTTTCTGAGCCATATAATAATATTGCTTTGAACTTCTACAGTGCCTTCCATTTCTGTAGCTTCCTAAGAAGTTATACCCATGTTAATTGCCATGGCACCTCAGAGAGAAAAAGAAATGTTCTCCTCCTCCTGGGATAATCAGTATTACTTTTAACACTGAAAGTGAAGGGAAATGAAAGGCTCAAAATCAATCTGAAAGTTAGTCAGGGCTGGGCTTACAAAGGAAGAACATGTGTTTTAGCTGTTAGACTGAGGTCTCAAAGCAGCTGGTCTTGGCCAGGCTTCCTGAATGAGTGTTAGTAACCCCCTTTTGCCTCAGTTCTGCAGATGTGGCTGTATTTTCAGGGCATCTTCATCTTCGCTTTCCTAGGATCTGGTTCTTTGGGACAGTATGCTTCCTGGAGTGCACTTTGCTCAGTGCAGGTGGCTGGGTTCTTAGGGCCACTATGCTAATGACAAAAAAACCCAAACTCTCCCAAAATAACAATGTATATTTAAGAGAGAGTCATTTTTCCCTAGGTGGAAATAGTACAACTTTCCCTGCATAGTACTGCACAAACATAGTTCCTCCTGCAACAGCTTATGGACGCAGCTGAGGGTGAAGCTAAGTGTCTTTGATTATCTCAGAGCATGCCCTGAGCACCAGTACCCAGGAACCCTGAGCTTGTCAGTCTTCCTAAGTGTCATGGGTTTAGCAGTAGCAGTCAATCTTTCTCCTTAGTATCTGGTGCAGCTCTGTGTTTTGACTTTCAGCCTGGGAACAGCGCTGATAACACCAATGGTTTTAGCTGTTGCTCAGTAATGTTTACTCTGACCAAGGACTTTAGATTCTCATGCTCAGCCAGGGAGGAGGGGAAGCTGGGAGGAAGCAGAGACAGGACACCTGACCCAAACTAGCCAAAGAGGTATTCCATACCACAGCACGTCATGCCTGGGGAGGTAACTGGGAGTTAACCAGGACACTGGCTCTCTTCTGGGTGAGGCTCGTTTCGGCAGGTGGTATCATATTCTCTTCCCTTGTTATTTCCCTTATCATTATTATCATTGATGGTAGCGGTAGTGGTTTGGGTTATACTTTAGTTACTGGACTGCTCTTATCTCAACCCATGGGAGTTACATTCTTTCGATTCTCCTCCCCATCCTTCGGGGGGGGCGAGGAAAGAAAGAGGGGATGGGGGGGGGGGGGGAGTATAAACTGTGTGGCTGACTGGGCTTAAACCATGACAATAAGCAAGCCAGAACTTGGTCAGGAAACCTCTGAGGGAAACCCACGATGCTGCAGGCCACTGAAGTGGAGATTTTTCTCACTGGCCCATGCATCAGCCAAAGGAACACAGTAATGTTAGGATGCATGGTGCTTCCTCAATAACTGCTTTTAGATGTGGTATGAGGTAAGGCCTGATTATTCATAGTACTTAATTAGGCAGTGTCAGGCTCTGCAACACTAAGGCAGTCAGCCCTATAACCTGTAATAATGCGCACTGTGCTCTGCCTACATGTACTGGTTTCTGATTACTGATACACAGTCGTCTGCATTGCTGTTCCTCTGCGGTGTGACTGTTTCAGCAGTGGGTGTGGTGAGCAGGAACTATTTCATACAGAGTACTTGGATTACAAGTGTGATATGCAGTAACTGCTTTATGATGCTTTGTTCCAAACTACAGAAATAACACACCCACCCACCCACCAGGATGAAAAAATCTCACTTGCTCTCTTCATGGCATTGCAGGTGATGGAGCACAGAGGAAAAAAAACAGTGTCCACTTCTGCATCCTTCTTATCCTGTTGCCATAGGAGCTGGAGGCAAGGTTTCTGCAGAAGATAAGTAGGTCTGTCCAGCCTGGAGCAGCAGATCTGTTATTTGCTGCCTTGATTCTCCTGTGTGAATGGCCTGGCTCCCTGCCTGGGACGCACAGATACAGCTGAGGGCTCTCAGCCTCACTGCCTGCCTTTCCCATGTAAGCACTTCTGCTGCTGCAGAGCCTTCTACTCCTGCTACAGAGACAAGTGAAAGAGGATTAGAGTTTGACTTCTGTTTACCACAGGAATCTTTAAAACACTGCCCCCCTGTAGACATGAATCCAAGAAAACGTGTTCCTTTCTTCCTTCATCTAAGCCCCTTCAGCCTTTGTAATGGACTTAGAGCTGTAAACACCTCAGTGGGACCAGTGCTGTGCTGGCACAACTTACCCTGAGCAGGTCAGCAGAAAATCATCTTTATAAAAGGGTCACTGACACCCTTGTGCCTACTATTTAGTCAGCACTGTAGGGGTGTCCTGCAGAATCAGATTTCTCCTCTTTTCCCTATCTTTAAGGGCAGAAACAACACAGAAGGCTTTTATCAAGAAAAAATAAATAAATAAAAATTCCCCTACATTTCTTTTCCACCTCTGTCAATGCTGGGAGTGTCAAAATTAGGTTTTCTGGTTTGACTGGAGATTCCCCTGGAGGGTAAGGAAGGTAATGAGAGGGGTTCAAACAGTCCTAAGAACAGGCAGAACTGAAGTGGTAAGGTATGCTTCTCTAATGAAGAATTCCTCATTTTCAGGATTTTGACTTCCAGGACACTTTCTCAAGAATATTGTTGAAACCCCTTTTACATGAACAGAGCAGCCAGCAGCTTCTGTTCTGCCCTGTGATATCAGTGATAGGGAAATCTTGAGTACTTTGGAAAATTAGGTCAGCTTTGATTAATGAGCCATTTGTAGAATTAATCAAAAAGATAGGTTGAGCATCCACAACTCAAGCAGACTTGAGGAAGAGTTTTGAGATGAACAGCACTTCAGAATGAGGTCATATCAAGCTGTAGCAGCTATATTGCATCAGATTGACTCCTTGCTCTTCTGGCATCTTCTTTAACCTGCCTATTCTACATTTTTATCTCTTTTTATTCTAAAGAGGATTACTGCAAAACTTGAACGAAAATATTGTTTTACTTTTGTTAGATCTTGTAAAAGAAGTGCATGTGTTTAATACTGCCACAGAAGAGAGAGGAGAAAAGCAGTGGGACCTGGTGTTTACCCATCGAAACAAAGGACACAAATTCCAGAGAGAGCTGTTCCAATTAATAGTCCTGCTTTTTACAGAAGGCAGAATTCACCAGCCTACCAAAGGGGAAATACTCTTGGCAGATCACTGGTGAAGGAGATTGAACTGAGCCTTGAGGATGAAACACCTACATTGATGAGAAATAGGTTAAGTAATGCTCTGCTTTTCAATTATGTTAGAGCTGTAGGTGCTGAAGCCTGCTCGTTAGCTGAGGCTATAAAATGCCACATTTATTGTATCATTATTCTTTCAAATATTTGCCTGGTGGTCTTGTAAGACATTCAGCTCTTGCTTTAAATTCCCAGTGGTTCTACCAAAGGAAGCTTTCTGTCTGGCCCTATACTAAGAAATGTCAAACCCCCAACTGTTACCTCTCCCTCTGTTAAAGCAGTGCGCAGTACTAACCTTTTGTTACCTAGTTCTTATGAAGACAAACCCCATGCCTTACTCATCCTCCTGTTGACCACCAAATCTGAGCTGACTCTGAGGGATCGTTTCTAGGTAGCCTTCCAGGTTAGCCCGTCCTGCAGTCTTCCTCCTCACTGAACTCTCCAGCCACCTGAGGCTATTACCTGAGCCAGTTTTTCTCCACAAAATGAGCATGTGGCAGCACATGTCAGGGCCTGAGCTATTGCTTTATTAATCAAAGAGTAACTCTATTTGCCTACCTTTAGCACTTGTCTAAGTCAGCCTCCATTACTCTTCCAGCACTTTTCTTACCCCAACCCATCCTTGAACTACCACATTTTGCTTTGCTAGTCACAGGGCTTGCGATTTAGTATTTTGTTGTTGTTGCTAGTGCTTGAAATCACTTTCAGTGCTCTTTACAGAATGTGCTTTGCAGCAATGCAATGTAATTTCTGAGTTCATTTTGGAATTTTGATTTTTGTCTTCCTCTTCAGTTCTGGCATCAGTCATTCTCGGGCAGCATGAAGGAGTTGAGAGTTGGGAAGAAGTGTGTCAGTAGATGATTTGTAACTTAATAAGAATCAAGAATATAGTTCAATTTATAATAGAAACGAAAAATTAAATTCTCTGCAGGGATTAACATGCAGAGTTTTTCTAACCTGTGTGCTTGTACATACTCATAGTGAATTACTGTTGTTATTAAATCTAGGAGGGAGGGAAACACAGCATTTCCCTTTCTCCTCTGGGTCTCTGCAAATACAAACAAGCTAGTAGGACAGACAGCACATGCTGTGAGAGGTGCCTAGAGATATCTGTTTTGATAGTTGCAGTGTTTGCAGCGTTTTGTCTCAGAAGCAGTGTTAGTATGCAAGGCAAACCATATAGCTGGTTTCACTCATCTTGCCTCTGAGCCAGTCAGTGCCTTCTGTGGAAATGTTTTGAATAGAGGATGTGGTAACAGCCTTACGCATTGAAGACAGAATTTAGATGTATCTTCAGGGACATCTGTATGTCAGGCTTGTACCACTTCGGATTCAGACAATGGGCTCCTTTATTTCCAGAGTGGTGAGCCCACCCAGCCCAGTGGCTGTACAGACATCCTGTTTTAGGGGTTCATTTCTTCTTGCAGACAGATCTTGTACCATCTGCCTAAACTATGGGTACCATTGGTCCTGTAATTCAGGTGGCTGATGTCCCAAGCCTGTCAGTGTGTAAGAAGTATTTTGACAGTGTCCGTAGTAATTTGCTTTAACTTTTGGTCAGCCCTGAAGTGGGCAGACAGTTGGACTCGATGATGGTTGTATATCCCTTCCAACTGAAATATTCTGTTCTAATTTGGCTTTGAGTTATATTTCACATTTTTCCTCCTTTTCAGAGTTCTCATGTCTCTCTGCTTCAAATAAATCATTTTACAGTATGGCTCTAGAAACAAGTCTAGACTGGTTTGTTACATATTATTATACTTATTGACAGTAGAAGCAATTCCCTCCCTTAAAAGTTGAAGTCTGAGTTACAAATTCAGTCTGTTTTGAGAGCTGTACTTTCTTCATTTTGGAGGGTTCAGTCGTGCCATATAATGACTATTATTAGTGTAAGTTGTATGTTTGCAAAGAAATATGTAGATGTAATTGAAGGGAAGAGCAATGGGAATAATCAACAACCTAGAGAAACATGGGTTGTGAGGAAAAAAAAATGTGTGCCTGTTTGATCTTTTAATATACATAAAAGACTGCTGCAAAGAGGAAGGCAATAATTCATTTTCCATGCCCAGGGCACAAGTAGTTATGGTTTTAAGCTTCAATTCTGGGTCTCTCTGAGCATTCTCCATTGCCTTGTATTTCTTTCAAGTGACTGATTAGTCACGTATTTGCTATTCTCATAAA